AAATGAACAAGAGCTCGATGGAGCATCACAAAGATAAAGGCATGCAACACAAATGGACGGTAACATTTTGTCCTTCGTGGTGAGCTGTGGTTGTATGCACCTAGCTCACTTTACTACTCACAAGTAGTTGAAAGCTAAACTGCGAACGAACAATTGGGATACCTCGGGGGTGTCTACCTCAACTTAACTGTCTGACCTCGCTTACTCCGCTATGTATCCCAAACCCCATTTTCTGTTATTCTTGTTGTTGCGTTGGCTTCAGGCTTGCTATAAAACCTTATGATAAATATAAATACCTCAAACCCGTGTCGTAGATCTGACTCGGTCGAAGGCGTCCGATTATGTTGACAGAATATCTACCTGTGAATGCATCAGTGAATGCCGGTTAAGGGCAACCCAGAGACTGTGTTCGAAACCCTCCACCCCCATCCGCATTTCCCCATTGTTATATGACAGCTCATTCGATTGGCAGCTTCTCTCTCCCTGAAAATGGTATCATTGTACTTTTAAAAAAGAAAGTAAAACGAAAAATAAAAAATTAAATGAAGAATAAACGTGGTCAAAAAACGATTGGGAAAATGGTTAAAGAACGATGTGGCTACAGTAATACTGCAGATCACATCTGGGGAAACCTGTTGAGCCTGGACTGAGAAACAGTTGAACGCATTTAAAAATGACAAATGGTTTCAGTGATAATAATACAAACATTACTTGTCATTCTAACTGTCATACCATGGGGGCATAGCACATTGCGCATGAAATAGTTGAGCAACTGCTTTGGACTCAGGAGAAATTCAAATAGGAAAATGTATTCAAACTAGAAGTGTTGTTCACCTGATGTAATGTTTTTTTCATGAAAGTTTTTGAAGGGGATCAATTTAACATGATAAAAAGGAAGGTTTCAAATTACAAAATAAATTAAAACGTCAGTAAGTTTACAGCTTAAATGTATAAATGACAAATTAGCCAATAAATAAATGCCCAAGATAATAATATACAGGAAAGATCCCATAAATCAAAGCAGTTTAAACCAAGTTCTTCCTCCGGACTTGATTCAAGGTCATGCTTGGTGAGATTTCCATACTATTACACAACTTACTTTTAGTGTAACATTTTTGTCAAAATGTACATCGCCGGAAACAGTGAGATGATCCAGTTCCAGCATATCCGGAATACTCTTTAGTCTTTCACGAAAATCTTTGATACTGACAAAATGTCGTCCAAGTTTGACCAGTGGCAGAGTTGGGAAATTTCGCATCGGAGACGGAATAATTCGACCTTTTTCTAGGACATACAGGTTTGACATGACCAGTAGCAAGTCGGATGTCAACTTTACCGGTAAAAATCGATGACGCGGCACAGTTAGACCTTTACAAGAAAAAATAAATCATAAGAGATATAATTCATTGTCTACTGCAGGTTAAAATGTAATCTATTTCGGACATTACCAGCCCCAATTGGAACGGAATTAAAACGAAGCGGAATTTAATGATCACGTTTGAATCCAAAAGAGAAGCAATTTAAAAAATAAGTTATACTACAGAGTTTTTCTAATCACTTTACATTACTATTCCCGTGGCCGCGGTTCTCAACGTTCCGGGCTTTAGTCCATCACAGTCATTGAAGTTTGTCATCCAGTTCCGTAGCTTAACTATGCTACTGAGGTGTTTCACTAATCAGTAAGCCTTCACTACCTTAAAGTTGCTCTTCCCACAGCGAAAATACAGGGTGTTACAATGTCCCCATGAAAAACACCGGTTTTTTCAATTTCATATGCCGTACCGTGCCTTTTGTACATACCGTTCCATCTCCATCATATCAGGTTATGGAACCTGGAGCAGAATAAGTGCCTCGAAAACCGAATGTATGTTTACCGGTTTGGTCAATCTAACGATGATTCTCCAAGCTTATTTTGCCCGCATGGTCAACAGGCTTTCATAGTTATAGTGCAACTCTTATGATTTTGGTGGACACACTGAACTCCTAGAATTGTGTCTTGCAAACAAGTCTTTCTGCTGAACTGTCTATTTGTGCTTGATGAAAATTAGCAGGTCTATAGGCTGCTAATTGTTATAATTATTTCTACTAAAATCTCCAAAACTACCAAACACTCTTGTCCGTTTTTGTCTTCCTCTAACTAGTGAAATCCCCTCCTCAAAGAATAGAAGCAACGAGGTTTGGTCAAGGTAACATGTTTTCTCCACACTCCTAGGTAAAGTATATCCTCCGATCACGAGGTTTGTCCAGTTTGCTGTACAGGTATTGATCGAAGTTGTGAGGCACCGGGACTTTTAGCAAACGTCCCCCTCTCCACGTCTAACATTTTACGGCTCACGCACTGTAATAGGAATAGCACTACTTCACACGATAAACAATACATCTTTACAATTGTAAACAGTTATTCAATCGGTACTACTTATGAATAATTGATGTCAACGACGACTGGATGGGTTGCTAGTGTAAGATAAAAAACGTGTTACAAGGTTAAGTAAAGCAACCAATGAAATTCTATTTTCATGTTAATTCGGATACTCTCATAGGTACCAATCGGACCTATCGTTTTGAAATGGAGTCTATCAAACTGGCAGTCAGGTCATTTTTATCGGTTTCTTCAAGCACATGTCGTCTACTGACCTCTAACAACCACTTGGGGGTGGGCTGGAGAACAGTTCAGTTACTGAAGTTGTAAACAATGTGAAAAATCATATTTCAGTTAAACTTGGGTATTTTAGTGACCACCGATTGCGTTCTTTTAGAAACTGTCCTAATGTGGTAAAACAATATATAATATGATGCCAATGATTTCCATGACAAACCTCGCATGAACCATGGGAAAGAGCAGTATCTGAAAAAACTATGGCTTCTTCAAAGCGTTCCTGAAGTGGAGACAACAAGCACAAGACATTAGTATAACAAATAAATTACTATCCATGTTTCGTGTAAGAACGCCCATCGACACGGTGTTGCATGCTCAATTCTGACCCAGCTCGTTAGGTGGGATGGATATCGACTGTGGCGATCAGCAGAATGAACTTAATTAGGAAACTATCGGACATTCTTCGCGGAAATAAACCAACTAGTCCAAAAGATGAGCGAAACAATTGGGATTCGTTGTCCAAATCAATAAGGGTCCATCTTTGTTTGGCGTTCAGTGATGACTCCACATCGCCTGATCTCAACTCCTTCGGAAACCTAATCACGTCCCTTCAAATCGTGTCATGTGCAAATCCCAGCACAATTCTGCCCAGCTTTTCCTTGAAATGGGATCTGTTTGAACCCTTCTGAGATGCAAGCGTATTTAATCATCACATTTACTCGATGTAGTTGATTTCTTTCCTCCTAATCGCGTTCATAGTAGAGAACTTCAATCACTTATACGAAAGACTATACATCGAAGCACTTCCGAAATTCAGTGAATGACACGTCGGATTAATGCACGTCTCTGCTGTGTTCCGCTGGTCTTTTGTCTTCTCTTTCGTGTGTAATTAAAAACCCTCGAATGCATTATTCTGTTTCTATTTGAAAAATTTAACAAAATGAATATTAAACGAAATGAACACCTCACGTTGGACTTTTCAAGGTGAATGTTCCTGTTTTTTTCTTGTTTTTTTCCTATAATTTTGATCAAATTTTTGTGTGGAATTTACAGTCACACTACATCATAATGGCTGACATAAAAGAATGTCCTTCATCGGTCTATATTTACATCAGATGCGGATAATCACGATATCTAAAAGAGTCGAATGGACCAGAATAAAGATCCGTATGTGTTAAAAATTGAGTCTTAGACAATGAATTTTCCATTGTATTACTCCACTTTGTTCTTCCAATTTTACGGTATAACTTTCGAAATATACGTACATATTTTACACATGTCCAAAGTTAATGCATGTCAAACAAGTCATGGTGCAATAATATTTATAAAAGAAAAACGTTCTGTGATTTGCATGTGAACTGAATACTGCCAGGTTACCCAGGCCAAGGCAGGTAAATGTTCTTGGGGAATCCACAACCGCAGCCTTCGGTTAGCCAAACCTGACCCGCAAGGCAGCGGCGGGGCGGTGTGAAAACCGCAATCGGTTGGGGGCCGAAAGACAAGGACTTTTCCAATTAAGACCGTGTCGATGCAAACGATGATACAGGAATGTAATATGAACATCAATGGAAGGAAAAATTGATAGTGAATATTCCTTACCTATGAGTATCAATCAAAATCAACTGATTTGCAAGCTACATTTTATTTGTGGACTAGAAGTCAAGTTCTAGGAGTTTGATCATTTTGTGTTCAACAGCTTGCAAATTAATATCATATCGTGAATATGTGTACCACCAGCTTGCGAACTGGCTAAGTGAGAACGTGGCAAGTATTATAATGATAAAAACGGGTGAGATGGGGATACAGAAGAAAATTACCTGGAAAACGAACAATTACAAAGCATCCAATGAATGAGAACGACAATGTGGTAGAGGATCTGTGGTACAAATGGAAGCTGAATTAAGACTTCTTGATTTTCGTATCACTCATGCAAGTTTCGAGAGCCTGGAAACCGCATGTGACCGGTTAGAAAAAGCGTCTACAGGACACGATTTAGTCATGTTCCCATGTTAGTACGATGACCCAAAATTATGGGGATCACAATTCGAAGTCAGAGATTTTGGGTATGGACTCCAGAAACTAGTGCCATACCGCACTATCTCAAATATTTTTCTTCAGAGACTAAGATGGACTATCCATCGATTGTTCAGATTACCCGTAATAAATTTCGCCATACATCGGTTAAATATCAGCGTTTTTTCTAAAATACTGCACAGTATTTAGTGTAAATCAATTATTTTAGAAGAAACCATAGTAATAACAATAAAATAATAATCGAAATTCATAATGAGATATTCTTGGTATTTGTGGAGATGGAGGAAGATCTGGATAAGGGGTTCAGACTTACCGCGCGGTTTGTCAAAATTGCGAATAGCTGCACCGGCAGCCTCTTCCAGTTGTATGACTGGAATTGATTTGTTAATGGTTTTCGGATTGACGATCAGTTCCATGGAAATGCGGTCTTCCAGTAACAGTTTGGCCATCGCATTCAAGTTTATCCACAGGTTGTTTGTGTTGAAAAATTTGAATTTACGTACACTAGTGAAGTCTTCAATGTACTTGTCGGGAACCTACGGAGAAATGAAAAATCAGTCCCATTCAGAACTTCTGTCTCAATATGGGGGAATAACTAACCGCTCCGACCAGATGGGTTTTGGTTACTCAAAATTAAGTATAACTATTAGCGTTTAGTCAATGGTTCATCAATGGAGGAAAATGTGAATCCTGCGTAAAAATAACACCCAGTTGTCAGATCACGACTATCAAATAAATATGATAAGAGCATTGTAAATAGAAAAAAATAATCTTCGTTTCTTTCCCATTATTTTCGACAAAGTTCTTTAACTCTTATAATCAATTTGGTCAACTTTTGTTTCTGAACTTTTTCTCATCAGATTTCTATGATGTTCGTGAATGATCAAGGATGGTTTTCAGATTTTAATGATATAAAATCCTAACCTTCAAAAACTTCAGCTTTACGACTGTGAAACTGGACAGACCTTGCCCTACTGAGGGTACTTAGTCTCTGGGGCCTATAATCAAGGAGGCCTGTCGACAAGTATGATCTTAAGATAGCTATCAAATCATCAAACTGGTTGAACTACACATCATTCGCCAGTTTAGAACAATACTGCGCATTAATATGATCACATAGACTGCAGTATGCACGTGTACAGATGCAGTGAAATGATCCAGGATATATTGTGCAAACCTGTGTTTTGGGCTTCTTTATTCAAATTCGTTACGGGGAAACAATACTTCTAATACTATGCATGTCTGCCGACAATCTTTTGATTTGATAATTATTCTAACTTTCTTGGTATATTTGGGAACCAGAATCAGCCTGGGACTTGGCCAAAGAGCATGGAAAAGTTAACAATAGTCTTGAGCTCGATCGGTCTTTCCCAACTAACCAGCAACGGGTGGGGGATCGAAGGATGACAAACGTAGTTTATTCACAAATCTAAGGGACGTCGCTTAAAATACACTTCATTGAACTGTATACCGTAAACGTTTCATGTGAAATCTCATAACGTTATATGTAAAGAACAAACAGTATGGAATTAAATTAAAAAAAGACGTACGTAAAAAATATAGTAAAAATCAACCCACCCCATCGGTATGAACACGTTGGAGGGTAGGCCTCCAGATTCGGTTGTCTTCTTCCATACACACTCATTCGTTTTTGCTCTGTTAGGCAAGGTATGTTGACCGCACAACTAGACGTCTATCGGAGAGCATCCATAAACACCTCCATGCGTGGCTGAGAAGTGGAGTAACTAAGTCAATCACAAATGCGATGTGTTGCACATTGTTGGTACTAATCATGTTGTAAACGTGACGGAAGCGTTTAAGTCCCAGTACAGAGTTAAAACGGGACGGTCCAAATATATGCGGACTCGTGTTCTAGTCCCAGAGGAGGCAGTCAGCATCTGCCTTCACAAGCCCCCTATGGATGTAGTAGCATGTCTTCTCGAAAGAAGACAAACTGGAAGTTTGCTCATTCAGATTAGAAATCGGTGTTTGGAATTAATATAGGATATATTGAAAATGAAATCGAATTTCTCCTTGTTAGTAAAACAAGTGTTCTAATAAGAATAGGCATAGAATACGACCACGAGAAAGTCAGTTAGTATTCATCGCTTGGCTATCACTTTAGTCTGATATCCCTTCCCCAGGAGTTACCTGCGCAAGCTCCAACAAACGCAGTTTGTGACCACATTTGACAAGGGTTCCACCTTTGATGTCTGACGGAGTTTTCGGTGTGACTTCCATCAGAAAGTCACAACCTTCGTCCTCGTCCTCGCCGACCGAATTTTCCAAATAGTTCAGGATTGCTAGTCGACCGGGATATAATGCCGAATGAGAACACATGAAGCCAATTGCAATTTAGTCATGGAAAGATTGAAAAGTTTGCAAGATGGACAGATTTCCATCCTAAACGATATAGTGCAAATCATATTGGTAAGAGTTGAACTACTGTGATACTTTGGACAGAAAATGTTGGATAAATGTTGGTATAGTTGAAGTATGGCTCTATTGTGACTATTGATCATAGGTTTCCAATAATTTTCAGTTGAATTTGGTAGTCCCCATTGACGAGAGCATCGTCTTGATAGGACAGGACTATTTATGTAGCTGAAAATTCAACCATGTTGAGAATTATAGGCGAAATCGCATAATACCATACAACGGTAGAAACTATCGTTTGCGCCCATACTTGGTGTGTACGAGCCTCTGGAACAGCCAAATCTACATTGTGAGGCGTCTAACTCCGTATGCTCGGATTCGAGACGTCACAGCAGTGGACAAGCACATGCAAAGTTGAACATTTAGAGCAGACTGCGATACTTTACCTATGCTGCATTTCAGAGACGTTGGTGCCACGTTGTTTCATGATAAATAAGTTTTTCCTCCCTGTAGGACAAATCATATTCTGTACTGAATTTTTACTCTGGTTTTTAATGATTTGCTTCTCTAATGACGAATGAATTTAGCTGACCACTGAAGAGAATCCCGTAAGTATACAATAGCAATGAGACTGTAGCAAATGCGGTGATCAGTTCGACAAATAGGTAATAAATGATGACAGTCAGTCGAGGTTGTAGGAAATGATTTTCACCATATTATCAGCTTAACCAGTCAGACTGTTTATAAGGTGTGCAGATTAGGGAAACCAAGGTGAACGTTAACTTCCAGTCAAAGTGAAAAATTGAGTTCTAAACGCCAATTATTCTGTGCACACAAGTGATCAAATTTAGCTGTATTCAGTGAACGCTGATTTCGCACTTTTATTGTTGGGACAATAACTGTGGTGAAACGCAGTGGGTCCAATGAAATCTTATTCTCTATCATATAGTTTGTGCCCATTTTTATTGTTGCAACCGCAAAGTCAAAGTCAAAGTTTTATTATGGGAAATACTTACAAGCGGTTGCTTTTCTAGTCCCATCGGATTTGGCACAGATGAATCGGTTCACAGTACATACAAAGTAGATGCATGTCGCAATGTCACAATTTGTCCTTTTTTCGTGCGCTTCTACGGATGCTGAAATTTAAGACTTTTCAAAGCTTCATCCAGATTATGCTTGAATGAATCAACTGTGGGCGCAGAGACAACATGTGGTGGTAGAGAATTCCAAGTAATGCACTTTCTGAGGGCGAATGAATGACGCCGACATTCTAGTCGGCATTTTTGGAGCGCTAATTTGAATGAGTGCCCCGCAGGTGAGTGTTGGGTGACAAGGAAAGGAGTGGACGATATGGGTGGTCTGGGTTCTGTATTATTTGGTATACTAAGATCAAATCTCCTCGAATGCGGCGATACTGTGTGGAGTACAGTTGCAGTGATTCCAATCTTTCCGCATAGCTCTTGGAATGCAGTCCTTTGACCATTTTGGTAGCCATTCTTTGTGGACGTTCCAGGATCTTTTGATCGCGTTGCAGCCATGGATTCTATGCTTGAATGGCATACTCAGCTTATATGAATTCTCTATCTTCCTCTTGAATCGACTTTTAAAATTCCAATCTTCATCCTTCCCTTTTTTGCCAAATGGGCGGCCAAAAGACAGCAAACAAAACCGGCGCATGAAAGTGCGTGTTTAGTGGTTGTAAAACTGAACTGAACTGAGTCAGTGCCCAGAGTAACCAAAATTCACCAATGTGGTTACACACTTCTTACTCTTATGATCTGGGAGAAGAACTAGACAGACGAGAAAGAGATTTTTCCAAACGGGTGCCCAAGACTTCAGAGCAACACACTTCGCGGTAGACCACACCGAAGAAGGGGATTTCCTTTGGATTCCAGAAGGGAACCTTTGATTCAAAAGTTTGACCCACAAGGCAGTGAGTGGGGCGCACATTCACAGCGGGAGTATGACCGAAGCACCAGTGTGGGAGCTTCAAAAAACCTGCCAGACAAGACCCTCGGATTTAAGTATCTCTGTCGCTGGTGCATTGATTTACGGCCCGTTGTTCGGGACCAGCTATTTGCCTTGTGCAGCCATTGAGACAGATGGCGTGTCTTGTTTACTGAGGCCGGTGATGGGTGGAAAAAGTAAAGGGTGGCCAAATTAAGATCTATCATTAGCGTATGAAAAACCCTGACTAGGAAATTCGGTCATATAGGCCGCGTTCGATTTCCTGAATGGGGACCTAGGGATCGGAGTAACCAATGTTTAGAGACTGAGTGCCATGACTGAGTGTCGTAAACAGTGACACTTGTGCATCATCTCAGTGTCCTTGTAAAACTGATCTTCATGAATTCTTTAGTTTCACTTTGATAGCAATTCGAGCAGTGAAATCTTCCTTTTACTCCTCCATCCAAACAAGCAACCGTAATGCAGAAATTAAAACCATCGCATGAAAGTGCATGGTTAATTATTGTAAAAACCAAAACTGAAACTACTATTATGACACTTGGAAAAGTGAATAGATGAAGCTTCTGTTACAGAAGTATCGTTTGATAGAAGAGAAACTACTAGAATCTCCATCGAAACGGTTTATAGTCAATTCAGAGGGAAGAAAAGCATAAAACGTGTGAAAAATTCGAATTAATTATGAATTAAAAGGGAAGATTGATACAAGATTATACTGCACAGAAATTTGATTTCAAGAGAGACATGCAACAACTTTAAAAACCCTGAACCGTTTTATTATCTCACCTGTATCAACAACAGCCCCAAGGTTATCAATGTTGGATATAAACACCCAAGTCTTGCCCTCTTGCATAAACTTTTCCAATAGCCCTGACTTGTCAAAGCTGCGGTAGACATCACCGTGTCCAGGAGGATACCAAAGTGCATTTCCCAGGTGGGCATTTCCAGCGGTTTTGACTGGTAGACCGGTTTCGGCGGAGAGTCGGGGAAAACTGAAGCATGAAATTGAAAGGACAACAGACCTAGTATGCAAACAGACATTAGAAATGATAGACATGATAGTTCGTTCGTTAGTAAGCAAAGCAAGTCGAGAATTGAGTCAGTTTCAAAATTACGGATTACATTGTAACTTCAATTCAAAGGTGATAAAGTAAACCATCTGCTCAGGAAACGACGGAGATCAAAAGTCGCTCAAACCTACTATGCAGCCGACCGCCAAATTATCTACCAGACGGTACCCAGACCCCCGGCAAAAGAAAGTCCTTCTCTGTACACCAACTTTGATCTGATATACCAATGCCA